AATGTGTTCCATTTAATTTCAACACAGAGAAAATTAAATTTAATCTCACAATTTATTAAATATAAAATATTATCTTATTATAATAATTTTATATTGTTATTTAACTCTAATTAATCCTATTTATTGTTTAAAATTAAAGTTTAACTTATTTTAATAAGAAGTTGTATTTACAATTATCATAAATAAAACTCCAAATTTGGTTAATAAATAATATCAATAAAAACAAAAATAATTTTCAAGGAGTTTTAATTTTATTTATTTATTTAATTTTGTTTAATAATGAATGTAGGTTATCTAATTTATATAAATTTTAGAGTGTTTTATATGTGTTAATAATTCAGATTATTTTATAATTCGTTAAATTTTTACCATTTATATTTTTATTAAAAATTATTCTAATATTAAATTAATCATTATTGTTTAATTTAATATTAATTATTTTCATATATTATATTAAACTTTAATGGTTTAAAATTTTTTAATCAAATATTTTATTTTTCATATAAAAATATATTTAAATAAAAAAAATACTAAAATTAAATATCAAATATATATTCATCTAATTTAAAATATTAAATAAAAAATAAAAAAACAAATATATTTTTTTAGTTTTTAAAACTTATTTTTTAAAACAAATATATCAAACAAATATTTTTAATTTTCTCATCCTAAAATCAGTTTTGAAAATTAAAATACCAAACAAATTTTACTTTATTTTCTTCTTTAAATAATTTTATAAAACTGTTTTAAAATATTATTTTTAAAAATCATAAATCAAACAAGCTGTAAAACTAATTTATAGTTAACTTAAGATTTTTTAAGTATAAATTTTGCTACCGAATCATTTTATAGCTATTCCGTAGCTACTATAAGAATATTTTGTAGCTAACTTTTGCTATGAAAATTTTTTATAGTTAATCCGTAGCTAAATTAAGAAATTTTTAGCTACGCAAAATTCTATAGTTAATCCGTAGCTAATTTCAAACAAATTTTTCTTGTCATATGGCGCCACTTATTCCCACCATAAGTTTATTTTGCTACAAAAAAATTTTGTAGCTAATCCGTAGCTACATTAAAAAAATTTTAGCTACACAAAAATATGTAGCTAATCTGTAGCTAAATTAAAAATTTCATAGCTACACAAAAGCCTATAGCTAATTCGTAGCTAATTCCAAGCAAATTTTTCCTGACATATGGCACCATTTATTCTCACTATAAGTTTATTTTGCTACGAAAAATTTTTGTAGATAATTTGTAGCTACGCAAAAGTCTGTAGCTAATCCATAAATAATCCCAAGTAAATTTTTCCCGCCATAAGGTGCCACTTATTCCTACCATAAGTTAATTTTGCTACAAAATTTTTTTCTAACTAATCTGTAGCTAAATTAAAAAATTTTTAGCTACACAAAAGTTTGTGGCTAATCTGTAGCTAATTCTAAGCAAATTTTTCCTGCCATATGGTGTTACTTATTCCCACCATAAGTTTATTTTGTTACAAAAAATTTTTGTAGCTAATTCATAGCTAAATTAAAAATATTTTAGCCACGCAAAAGTTTGTAGATAATATGTAACTAATTCCAAGCAAATTTTTTCCGCCATAAGGCGCTACTTATTCTCACTATAAGTTAATTTTGCTACAAAATTTTTTTTTAGCTAATCTGTAGCTAAATTAAAAATTTCTTAGCTATACAAAAGTTTGTAGCTAATCTGTAGCTAAATCGAAGCAATTTTTTTCTGCCATAAGGTGTTACTTATTTTTGTGAATTTAGCTACGAAATTTTTATCCCTAACTAATTAGCTAGAGATTTGCTACGGAATAATTTTATAGCTAATTTTCGTAGCTAAATTTGTTTTCTCTTGTAGTATTTCTCAGTCACCTCACCAAATTTATAAAACCTAACATAAAAGCAAGTTTAGCTGTTTAGTATGATAAACAGAAATCTCGATCCACATTCTGTTCTTTCCTACGATGTTTAAATATTAAGAGGTCCAGTTTGGGTAATCTTTCAGAGAAGTTTGAAGGAAAAAAATCACTATAAGAAATGAGTAAAACTTTTGTTTTATGTTTTTGACTCATGGCTGAAAGTTTATTCATTTTTTTTTTACTATTCTAGTTTACTCAAAGTAGGACTAAGTTTATTATAACAAGCTCCGAGTCTTCAGTTGACACCCTTAGCAGTTAAAATTGAGCAAAGTGGATTAAAAAATTGAAGGTTCATCTATGTTGAGAGTTATTGCTCCATTAAGGAGTCTTAGAGGATAATTTTCTCAAACAGAATGCAAATTATATTATTTTAATCAGCATAACAATACATGTATATCTGTAAAAGTCGGCCAAAATTTGAACTTGTCTTTCGCCTCCATCAACGCATTGATTGCTTCCCTTGTTGCTCACTTTTAGGGAATGTTGAGATTCAATGAAAATAGTCATCTATCTTGTTGCATCAATTAATTCTCATTGTTCCTGAAACCCTTTGGAACATTAAAAAGTTTGCCACAATGATAAGATGTTTACCCAATTTATATATACATTCATATAATTAAAGCTAAAATTTGGCAAAAGAAAAAATTCTTAGATTAATTGTCGTTTGGGGATAATAAGAATTTTTTACATTTATAATCACCAAAAATAAAAAAATTCCTGAAATTCAGTATATTTAGTTTTAAAAACAAAATGTTTGACATATATTAATTATGATGTCAAAATATGGAATTAAGATACCTTATCTGTCAAGGACTTGATAAATTTCTTTGCTTCTCTATGCTTAGAAGATTCCTCTCCAGCCAGTGACGTGGTTTTCTCAATATTGTGAAGCTCCTGAATCTTCATATCTTGCATGTCACCCTTTTGCTTTAAACTTCGAATCGAATCTATATTCAAGACAAGAAATACTCACAAAACTTATTAATGAGAACATGTCATGTTTTCGGAGGATAAAGAATACAATTACTAGATCTGAAAGTGGACAAAAATCCGAAATATACATGGTTTTGCAATTTTGAGACTTCTTGATTCAAAAGATCATTTTTCTTCCTTAAACTACCAATAAGGCTTCTTGAAGGCGGTCTTGGTGGTCTTTCAGCATATGGTCACACAGGTCTTGAGAAAAGTAGCTGTGGCAGGTGAAGTGGGAGGTTGAATTGGCTGTATAACAAATCATTTTGCATAGAACTCAATCAACTTGTTCTTGATTAAATGCTTGTTTAGTTTAAAGCTGAATAAAAAAATTGATTTTGAGTCGCTGAATGTAATTGGGATATGTGTATCAATTATCTTAATTATATAATATTACTAAAACGAGTATTTTTTTATTTAAAAGTGCAATAATTAATTTTTTTTTCGCTTATAAACAAACACGCCCTAAATAGACTTGTTAATGCAAGTAATTGGCTCTAACTTAAAAAAAATAAAATATTTATGCTCGATTTTTTATTAAAAAACATATCTCAATTTTTTATTATTGCTTTTTATACTCGACAGTGAGAGTGAAAGTTGTATTCCTTACATATACTAAGTTGTTCTAAAATTAATAACTGAGGTTATTTTCAGAATCTCAAGATCAAATCTCTAAATTACTCTATTCTCAAATTTCTTAAATCACTTTATCTACACTGAAGTCTAATCACCCCTCTTAGCAATCATTTGGGTTTCAGTTGAACTAGATTCATTAATTATGAACAAGGTATAATTAGTGTGATGTTTACAACCAAGGTATAATTAGTGTGATGTTTGCATAAGTTGTAGTAGTATTTTTTAGCTATCTCAATGACCATTTTATGTGTACATCTGCTGTCAATTTCAAAGGAAGATAATGAGAATTTGAGCGTGTACAATGTTGAATAGACTAGACGAATGAAAATAGACTGGCAATAGCTGGCACTGAAAGTTTAGACTAATTTTCCCCCATCAGATTTAGAAGCATTATTGTTAGGCTATGTTTGGCACTCTAATTATTATGGACAGTGACCCGTCACAAAACACACCACCGTCCACTTGCTTCCACTTTCGCTTAGTCGGTGATAACTCCTTCCAATAGAGTCTGCATAAATATATTTTTCTTTATCAATGGTCCTCTTATGATTTTATTTTTTTTCACTCTAGTCTCCCTCAAAATATTATGAAAATTTTTATTTGGTCCCTTTAAATATCATAAATTACCCATTTGGTCCTTATAAATTTCATAATTTTCTTATTTATCTTTTTTAAAATAAAGAATTAAATATAAAATTCGTAATATTTAGATGGATAAATAGAAATATTAACAAAAGAGACCATCTTATAACAATTTTTTTTATGGAGAACTAGTTTGAAAAACTAATGAAAAACTTTTAAATTTTTTAACAATAAAAACTTAGACTATGCTTGATTTACTTTTTAAAAATTAAAACTATTTTTTAAAAGTAAATCAAACATACTCTTATTAAGTCAAATTACTGTTGTTATTATTTAAAGTGTTATTTTAGCATTATTTCTCGTTCATATATTGTCTATATTTGTTATTCTAAATATGTTAGAGGAATTAAATTATACTTGTTCTGATGTACATACCAATCAATAACAAGAGCTTTGTGTCTGAAGATCTAAATTATAAGTAAATCTTCAACTTAGTTCTCACTTTTGAATCTCTTAAATATTAAAATTATTTATTATTTTCGTAAAAAGCCATTCTCTATAATTCTTTTCTACTTTAGTTTTTAATGTCATTTTATAAAATTAGGATTAGTAAAATATTTTAATTTCTCAATAACTTAAATGCCTCACCTACACAATCTTGAAGACTGATTTAAGGGTTTACTTTCCAAAATACAAATTAGGACAACTTTTATAATGGGAGGGTTACAAGGAAAGAGGGAAATTCAAAGCATGTTAATCCAAAATAAATTTGCTACCCCTAAACCTTACAACACGGTCTATCCTCTGTTGGAGGTCATATCCAGACTGTTGTAAATACTGCCAAGTTCTTTTTACCCTAATTAATTTGCCTAATATGGATTTCTTTACACTTAAGATTGATGCTGCTTCTATTCTCTGGATCATTTCATAGGACTACGGGATGCCTAGTGACAAATAAGTTTAAGAAGGTAATGCTTCAACATTATCTTCAGCAGGAGGGGTAATGGATGACTCAGTACTTGCATTCTGTGTGGCTGCTGGAATGTATCTACTAAACACCCTATCTTTGTTTTTGCTCCACCATTCTGCTGCCTGTTGTTCATTGAATCTTCGCTTACTGTGCACAAAAAAATAGAAAAGAATAAAGGGAAAAAGAAAAACATTTGAAAATATAACATTTGTTCTCGTAAAGCCAATTTATCAAGTAGAATAGAAACTAATGGTATAAAAAAATTATATATTATGACTAAATGGGAATAGAAGATTTCAACAATTTAGTTACCGTCTTAATGTGATAGAAACCAGTATCTTTATTAAGAAATACAAGGAGAAACTCCCAACTCTACAGAATAAAACACACACACACTAAACATTTCTTTGAGGGCGTGCACCTCCTGAGCCAAAAGCCCTAACTCTCCACAGTTGACAAGAGGGCTTCTTTCTCTTCCTCCCTCTTCTTTATAGAGGCAATATATCCTATTTCTTCTACAATCTCAATTTTTCCAATCACTAACTTATTAAGCCTAAGTATATATTGTAACTAACTTCTATGTACCTTACTAACATCATAGCTAACTATAATCACACACACATAAATAGTCGCACACGTCTTCCATATTGAGAAGCAAGAATTGAAGAAATAGAATAATTTAGTCACTAATGGGAAAAAAGGCCAAAGATACTCGGCATGATGAACATACCAACATGCAGAAAATATGTGACGAAATTTGTTAGATTAGCAAGTAGCTCTTATACCTGAATCTAATTCGTTTGAAAACTTTGCTACCATTAGGTTGTACTATAAGTGTGATATAAACACCAGTGTCAAATTGTTCAATGACTGATCTTTCTCCATCTCTCGCAGGTATACGAGAATCATTTGATCTTGAACTATTTTCTGATCTCGTTGGAGGCACTCCTGTACTAGACACAGATGCATTATTAGGCATCGATTCATTGTTGCTTTCTTCAAGAATATTTCCTCCATATGTAGATGGAACAATCCCTGAAGCATCATCATTTGCTTCCAGTCCTTGCTCTTTCAGTTTTGAAGAGTCACTATCAGAGGCAGGTATATCAGTTGCACTTTGTTGCTCAGACTCGAGGCTCGGCGAGGAGGAAGAAGATTCAATATCAGTCTTTTCATTAAGAAATTCTTCTGCTTGAGCCCGCATCGATATCAAGGTTTCATTTTCAGCAATCTCTGGTGGCAACTTCTCAGTCACTTCCCTCAACTAAATTAAATCAAACGTAAAAGCAAGTTCAGTAATTTAGTATGATAAACTGAAATCTTGAGCAACATTCTGTTGTTTCCCAGCAGGTTTAAGCATTAAGCTTATTATAACAAGCAGTAAGTCTTCAGTTAGCAGTCAAGGTGAGAAAATTGACAAAAGAATCAAGTTAACATCGCTTTAGTTGACTACCATTAGCCGTTAAAATCGAGCAAGTTGATAAAAAATATGAAGGTCCGTCTATCTCGATAGTTATTGCTTTTTTAAGGAGTCTGACTGTCTGAGAGCATAATTGATGTCAAAATATGGAATTAAGATACCTTATCTGTCATGGACTTAATAAATTCCTTTGCTTCTCTAAGCTTAGATGATTCCTCTCCAGCCAGTGACGTGGTTTTCTCAACATTTTTGTGAAGCTCCTGAATCTTCATATCTTGCATGTCACCCTTTTGTTTTATGCTTCGAATCTATATGCAAGACAAGAAATATTCACAAAACTTATTAACAGGGACATGTCATGTTTTCTGAGAATAGGTAATGCAATTACTAGATCTGAAAATGGAATAAAGTCCGAAATATACATGGTTTTGCAATTTTGAGACTTCTTGATTCAAAAGATCATTTTTCTTCCTTAAACTATCAATAAGGCTTCTTGAAAATCCTGGGGAGGAACAACGTGGTGGGCTGGGTGGTCTTTTAGCATATGGTGACATAGGTCTTGAAGAAGTAGCTGTGGCAGGTGAAGTTGGAGGTTGAATTGGCTGTATAACGGACTTGTAAATATTCTGCGCGGAACTCAATGAACTTGGAAATGCAACATCTTTCAATTGTAAACGTGTAGGAACTTGAGCAGCTCGAACTATGGAAGAAGTGTCATGTATACTTCCAGGTTTATTGGTCCTTATCTCAAGGTATTTTACCGGTTCTGTGGTGGGAGGCAAGAGAATTCTTGAAGACCTTACCTCTCCCCGGTCAAATTTTTCCCTTCCATATATGGAACTAGAGGGATGACTAATTTCTCTATTAAAATTCGAAGCATTATCAGAACCTTTTAGCTTAGCATAACAAGCATCACACACACGATGTGGTTTGCTAGGTGTAGGAGCCAATGCTGCTTTCAATGCCTTTTTTGAACTACAAGGATGGCAATACACCAATCCACAATTATAGCAATTATGCCTTTTTCTAGTAAAACCAAATGGTTGTCGACAATCAGAGCAAAAAGATTGGTCAGCCCCAGAAACCCATTTATGTAAGCATATACAAGATGTAAAGCTGGATCCACACGAGATATTCTTTACATGCCTGTCTCGGAAGGCTTCCACCAATGTTGGAGTTTGCTGGTCATCTGTGTCTCCATGTCCTAATCTTCCATTGGTACCTTTCCCCCAAGTATATAAATCACTTCTTGAAGTCAATACAGCAACATGATGTGCTCCACATGATATTTCCTCCACAAACTCACCTACTAATTTATCCCGCACCAGAATTGGCACTTTTCCATCAGACATTGGATTTCCTAGTTGACCATATGCTGTGCTGCCCATAGTAAAAACATGACCAGATACAGTGAGTGCAACAGTCATAGTGTATCCACATGCAACCTGGTTAAAATTATACTCAGCGAGTGCTACTACACAAGTTGGTTGAAGGTAAGTATCCTTGTTTACATGACCCAAACGATATTGGTCACCATCACCCCATGTGAAGAGCCTCCTATTTGAAGCATTTGAACCAGACGGATCCATAACCTCTAAAATGGCTGCTGTGTGCCACACTCCACATGCAACCTTAATAGCCTTTTGTCCACTCAATAACTGTACCTCCTTTGGATATGACACACTCTCTCGATCTCCATGGCCCAAGACACCAAATCTTCCATCTCCAAAAGTGAAAAGTTTTCCATTAGAGGTTGCTAATGCTGAATGCAATGCACCGCATGCTACAGATACAACCTGAAGTCCCTCTAAAGGACCATTAATCCTCTTTGGTATACAATGGCTAACATCAGTGCCATGGCCAAGGAGTCCTATATTATTTGTACCATCACCCCAGGTGAATAGATCACCTGACATAGATAAAGCGCATGTATGATATTCACCACATGCAACAAAACTCACATTAGTAACTGCCAAGGACTCCACAAGATGAGGTTGACCAAAATCTTTATCAAACCCATGACCAAGTCTTCCCCCAGAGTCCTCTCCCCAGGTAAAAACCTCTCCTTGCCTTGTAACCAAAGCAATGTGTCGTACACCAGGCCCAATTTGTTGAACATCAAGAACAACATCAGACTCTAATGGCTTAGGACTCAGCACATCTGTCTTAGAAGGGACTTGACTCCCCAATCCATCAGATGAATTCCCGTCTGCCCAAACCTCTCCCCATATATAAACATCACCTAGAGATTCTATGTCATCTAGCCCTGATCCTACACTACTTGAGTGGCTAATACTTGACACACTAACACGAGAACCTTCTCCAACACTTGTCCTTAGTGGCATATTTGCACGTTCAGACCCCACATCTGATCTTGGCCAAGACGATGTAGATTCACGAGGCACTGAATCAACAGAAAACCTGCCACGGGCAATGCTTGATGCTAACTCTAGTGATCCAGCAGAAGGACGATCATTTGGAACAAAGTGAACACTATCCTGCAAGAGACATTCAAAACAATTAATTCATTGAAATGTTCTCTAAATATAGATGATACAAATAAAAAATAATCATCAGTCTTTGCCTAACAACTTAAGTTTTAATGACAATTTCGCTTAGTTTTTTTATGACCAAGTAGTTAAAACTTTAGTCTATGTTGCCCCCAGTTATCATAATTTATAGAACAAGTTTACAGGATGAACATTCGGATATTTTGATGAGTTTTCCATATATAAATTTAATCTTACGTTGATAAGATACTCCTCAACTATATTTAAAGAATAAATTACACTAAATATCCTCGAGTTTTTTCCACCAGCATAACTGCTACAGTTTAAGATTCTGCTGATCTTAGTGGTAACTTAATATTTCAATACATAAAAGAATTTAATCTGAGTTATTGAAGGAAAAAATAGGAAGTACCAACTGTTTAACATGTAAACTAAGATATGTTGAAAATTAAACTATAATTTAGACAATTTCTATTAAAACTTACATCGGTGAAATTACTTCTACCACGCCTGCTACGCTCTCCAGTGGAAATTAATGCCTTAAGGCCTGAAAACCATACCTCTACCTCAGCTTGGTCCTTGCAGATCTAGTAATATGAAAAGGGGAAGCAATTGATTAGACATTTATATGGAACTGACAAATTTAAATCCAATATAAGAGACTGTGTTTTCAGACCAGATCAAGTGACCGTTCCCCCTTTTTAAAAATAAGTGAAAAGGACAGATAATCCTTTTCAGGACGCAAGTATCTTCTAAAGACTGCCTGCAATTAAGAGAAAACCTGGGATATCTTTATCAGAATACTAACATAACCATAAATCTAGCCTCCAAAGACCAAGCATTTAACTTACTGTTCTTTGTCCTGGGATAATGTGTGAAACAAAAGACAAGTTTAGGTTCTTTTCCCTTCCACGAGAAATCCAAATAAGCTTTGTTTCATCCTGCTAATGCCACTAAATATGAAATCATTCATATAGAGATATGAAATTCAATACATGTAATATGCATGTATGTTTCTCGGAACACGTGAATTTTTTTCAGTATAAAAACTCACTGGTGAGAGCCTGAATGAACAAAATTTTGGCTTCCCTTTCCGACTATACTTAACTAGCTGAGTTCCCTTTTTCAAAGAGAGGAATGCCTTCACAAAGAAGAAAGACAAATTAAATTCAACTAAATGGAGCACCCAAGCAACATAATCGCTAGAAAATCATATTAGTTAGTCACAATTTTCTATTCCAGAAAAAATATTTTCCTTACTGTGTTGCCAATTTAGATAAAGTGATTTTGATTGTCAATCAAAAACCACTTAGAAAGGAACAATATCATGACCATGTTCAATGAAAGCTGCCTTCCTTATCTTTTACTTGGCACATTTACTCCGCATGCATCCATATATTTAGTAAATACTTAGTTTGCCTTTCCTAGAACACTATCTATTGCTTTTAAATAAAATTATTCAAGTTTCATATTAAATTGCCTCTATATATAAACCAAAGCACTAAATATCCTTTTAAAAAGAATGTCAATAACACTCTCTTAATCATTGACTAAAATCTATAAAAAGTGACAAAGAGTGAGACCTACATTATTTTTATAGTTTAAATTAATTTAATGAAAAACAAAAAAAAAATGTTAGAAAGAGTGGATTGAAGAACGTGTTGCTAGTATTTCTGATTTTTTAATTGCTTTTATTCTCTTGCCCGTTATATCAACCTGGATATTGGTCCCCTTCTAGATAGTAATCAAGAGTACCATGACTACATTTTATATATCATATATAGAATTTTTTCCCAACATATTTTCCATTCCTTTCTTTAACGGTTAACTCTTATCTCCAATCACACTGCTTCTAGCTAGGACAAAAATTTTCTAGGAGGAGTACCAACAACAGCCATAATTGCCAAACACAAAAAATAACATTTTTACTACATACGTCTATAATTAACACACTGTAACAAAAGATTCCTCAATATTTTGAGCTATCTTTTCACAATAAAATGAATACTCACTAGAAACAAACTAATATAATCATGCTTGATGGGGTAAAATTCAAAATACTAAGATTTTCTACCTACATAACAAACCAAACATTTATTTTTCAGATAAAAGACTAATTTGATGTTGAAACTAACTTGCTCAACATCCCGCTCATTACTCCCATAACTATCAAGATCTGCCATTCCATCTGAAAACAATTGTAAGGAAACCACAGAAGACGACAAAACTCAAGCGTCATGCTTTCTAGTTAGGCCTCTCATCAAAGTCCCCAAAAACCTCAAGATGAAAATTTTCCAACTAAAAAAAATTGAATTTCTTTTTAAAAGAAGGCTTAAACTCGGATATAATACAAGTGGGCCTGCAGGGTATGTGCTATAGATTCAGAATCAGAGAATAACCCAGATGAAGATTTGTCATGGTACTCCCAAAAAGATTGAAATTTGGAGAAAGGGGGTGTGAAAGTTGCATAAACAAGTGTGTGATGTGGTTTCTGAGCAAAATTGATTCAGCAATTGGGAGAGAGATGCGAAAGTTACGTAAAAGGAAAGGGAATGAGATATTGGCGCGCTTCTTAAACTGCTTCCACGTCCACCAACGAATAAGACTCTACTCACCCCATTTTCATGCATTTTTTTTTTTTAACTCTACTCTTATATTCATACATCAAATTTTATAACTAGGTAACATCAAGTTAAATTTAGTTAATGACATTTATCTAATGATTAGTGGACTAACAGTGTGTAAAAGTTTGTAATTAATTAACTAGTTAAAATGTCCGTACAGTGGACAAGTTTATTTTAATTTATAAAAATTTAATTTTAATATATAAAATATGTTAAACAAAATTATTATGTATTATAAAAATAAAATATATAAATAGGTGATAACTTTAAATTTAATAATTGAGATAAAATTATAATTTTATTTAAAAAATATTTTTTACGAAAACTGACATTTAATAATTAAATAAAATTTGATTTTATCATAATATTGTTTTATATTTAATATTTTTAATATAGTATGTGTGTATTTTTCTATTACGATTAAAAGAATGGTGATGATATTTTTAAGGTTATGATTAAAAAATAATCATTATCAAAGATAAATATATTAAAATAATTTATTTAAAATTTTATTATAAATTATATTTTTGTTATAGTTTACACTACTTAAAATATATTTAATCAATATATTATAAATAATAATTATAATATTATTGTAGTATAAACAATATTTATTAAACATACCATTTAATACAAAATTATATTTAATCTTTTACTAAGCTATGACATAAAGTAAAAAAGAGTGCTAACTGAAAAAAAAATGAAAAAAAGAGCATAAACTTAAGTATAGTAAAAGATATAAAAACAGTATATTTAATAAAAAATGATAATATTAAAATGTTAACAAATGAAAAAAATTTAAAATTATGCTACATTTATTTTTTTTACTGCAAAATATTTTTATAAATAAAAAATTGAAAAATGGTGAATAAAAATATTTTTATACAACACTATATATTTACTAAATTGTGCAAAAATATATAGGCATCGTTATTTAAAATAAATTTGTTGCAATAAAACTGGTACGATGTCCCCTTAGAGTTATAGCCAACTCGGAAGTGAATCTAAGATGGATGGGGCAGAAACTTTATTGACAAATTGACAAGTATACTAAATCACAAAGTAGTAACAAAAATATCATCCACTAGATTAATGATTCGAGTACCACGTTATAAAATTTTTACTAGTTGAATATAAAACAAAGTATGGAATTCAATTGTATTGTAGCACACAATGAATTGAGAAATGAATAATCTAATTTAATTAACAAGCAGAGTAATAACAATGTGCAAGAAATTGATTAGAAAGTCATTCTGAATTGAAGAGTAAAGAAAACCATGAAACAAATACTTAGTTATAATTTGATTAAAAATGTATGTTGAGTTCAAATTCCCTTAATCTTTCCTTTGCATAGACTAATGTACAATTCAGAATTTAATTCCAAGTTAATGATAAGATTTTTTGAAATTACCCAATACCAATTCCTTAGTTATTTGGTTATAAACCAACTTCTAAATTCCTAATTTCTCACGATCTTTTTTTGAAAAGGATTCGTGACATGCTAGTCAATTAAAACTTGTATAAAATTTTCACATTTTAAGAAGAATCGAAACTTAACTTAGATTTCACTAGTAAAATAAAGTCTCAAAGGCATCATTGTAAAACTATGAATATATACATATATAATTGGTCTGTAATAATATTTACATAAGAGTCGCTGGATATGGAGCTCAAAATATAATTTATAATCAAAATTTATATTCCATGATCAAATCTGTAGCTAAAGAGTATAGATTCACCACTAAGACCTAGACTAACAAATGTAAAACTATAAATTCCAAAATCTCTAACTTGGACCATTCCTCAACCAGACCCTCTAGCATGGAAAGTAGGGGCTCCACCTGTCACTCCTGCTCACGTACCACCATACGATCATCGCAACACACACACACCAACATAGACAAATGCAAGGGTGAACTTACGAATTAAATAGTCATAGTCATAATGTTAATACAAATGTAACTACACACTTAGTACACTAAAAATAGTTAGCAAAACAATGTAGCTTATTCCTGGCCTATCTAATGCAAATGCAACAGGACAGATCCAACTAGTTTCACAGCTTAAATAATCTAGAAGGAACCTGCTTTTTGGTCTGGGAGCAACCCGTCCCGGTATTTGGATCTAGACACAACACAACTCAGTGTTTTTCTTATGAGTGTGTGTGTGTGTGTATATATATATATATTCATTTTTTTTCCTCAGTCAATCTCAACATTTCAAACTTTTATCACAGCTATAACCAATATAAAATATCAGCATGTACCAACTAATTTTAGCATCTTCATCACATTATATTACATCATTTCAAGTATTTATCTCACACATAAACAGTTTCGTACCATTCACAGCACAATAGAGAACCCTATCACACATATTCTGTGTGCTACCCTAAGATTTGTCCATACATCAACCCATTCTCAGCTAGGACAAGATTTATATAGATATTTCAACATCCAATGGATAATGAAGGCTATCTAAGGTAAGCTCCCCTTACCTAGAATGAGTTCCTAAGATCATACTCTCATGAGTCCCAAAGAGATAGATTCGAAGTCTGGATAAAGAATACGACTTGAAAGATTCAAATCTAGATTTATATGAAATAGACATTCACACTTAGATCAGGAAGAAGTTCGACTTTGAATGGGAGAAAAAAGCTTTCTGGTGAGAAATGAATGTTTTATGTGCTGAGGTTCTTTAAATACCCTTCTAGATCCACACGCTCTCGCTTGAGCGAGTCAACTCTCGCTTTAGTGAGCCATGCCCTTACCTGGACGAGAAAACTAGACAATGGCATCCACCCAGTGAGACTGATCTCATTTGAACGAGATCGCTCTAAAATGCCCAAATCAGCACGAACCAATCTCGCTTGAGTGAGAAACCCTGCACCAGAACTCCCATTTCTCACAGAATGAAGGCTTTACAATAAAAAGTTCTACTATATTTCTCACTAATACACAAAATACTCAACAATTAATCGTAAACCCAATTACTAATGTACCAAAATAATTAATCGAACAACACTGCAAAGGTACAACTTTTATCCAACAACTAAATAACTCATACATTTCATTCTTATTTCCATGCATACAATCAAACAATTACAACATGAATTAAAGGAATAGTATAAATGCATATATATGCACATACAGGTCTGACATAATTTCCTAGGTAACCGAGAAAAGGGTCAACATTAAGTATAGAAATCAAGTGATCACACATCCATAAATTCATATTCCTAGATAATTTATAAATATACGATTTCATTGAAGTTCAAGAATAATTGAAATCTCCCAATTGGATAATTCCATAAAAATAATTAAATATTCCCAATTCATTTCATGACTTAGAGTCTTATTAGTGGTCTACAATTGATATAGTGGCAATGTGGAATATGTGCCCACGATTAGTTACGAGTCCAAAGGGAATGTTCTTTCATAATGGATTTGGGTTGATTGATGGTGACATAGGGCCATAGTCACATAATTCGCTCCATTTTCCTAAGTACCGCGAATTGGATTGGACATACCAAATTCATGGTACGTTGAAGAATTAGTTCGCATCAATTCACTCATTGGTAACTTTAACTTGACATGTTATTTTTTAGCTTTGATGCTTTCTTTATAGCTACTTTACTTCACTACCCTTAGTTAACAAAGTCACTAACTACTCAAATTCTTCATCTTTCATCTTTACTTCACTTATGTTAGAGGTAACAATAATAGTAATTCTGTAGTAAATCATTTATTATCGTTTCTGTATGGGCAATTTAGGATTGTTCCTTGCCAAACACACACCACAATGGGTGGTTCTTTAATGACCTTTGTGCACTGTAGTAGAGCAGCCACAACAAGTGGTAGTGGTGGAAGGATGAATGTGTGAAATTATCCTCTATCATGAATCACAAGTAGATACTTCTTAAGGCGAGAAGGGAGAGGTGAGAGTTGTGATCAGCACCATTACACAATAGTCAAGGTACCTTCATTAGCTCTATCAAAGAGTCAATTTCAATTTAGAGTTGGACTCTCGTAAAACTATTATTTTGACTATACAAATAGTTTATTGATGATGTAAGCATTTAAGGAGGTGGAATTGAGTCAAGTAAGGACTAATACTAGTAAAGCATAACCTTTGTCAGCCAAGTACGTTGACTGCTATAGCTAGGTGGGCGAAGAGATTTTGGGAACCCCCATATGTTATATGGTATAAGACGAGGTGGTGTTGAGCAAACATTTGGAAAAATGGCCAAATGGTCATTTCAAAAAAGGTTATCGTATTGAGGTTTCATAACTAAGGGGTCGTATCTACGACATGGGAGAAACATCACAGTGTACATGTACGACTATCTTTTCACTAAGATAGGTGTTTGTGTCTCGTTTACTAACTTCTAAACAAAGGCACTTCTACGCCCCTGTCTTGACTCCTCACAATTGCATCCTAATAGATTGATGATTTTGTAGAGCTTTGAGTTGTTATGCGTAGAGTGTGGCATCATTCCATCTATTTTTTTCCATCATTTGTTTGATGTTTTGAGGAAGAAATGTGTAAGTGATGGGAAAAGTCATGTGACACTGAAAATAGTGATCAGGTTAAGAATATTTGACGTCTATACCAAG